TGATTCTGAAATGCGTTTCCAAGAAAATCAGAATCTAGTTCCGGGAAAGGTGGCACCCAGGGAATCGGATGGGGGAATTTTGAATTGTGAGATCGGTGCGGATTCATTTCCACAGTCCATGATTCTTCAACTAGAGAAAACATGGTTGCTTAGGGAGCATCATATATGAGTTAAGATTGAAGTAAATAAGATTCATCATTAAGCGCCACTACCAGATAGCAGGCTATATGGAAAGGGGAAAAAGGGAACACTACCTGTGAAGTGTGAAGGAGGGCCAAATTCTGTTCCTGCTTCCGAAGATAAGACAGATTTTATTAGTAGATTCTGATGGTTCGCTGCTTTTCCTACATAATTGATGCCTACGAGGAGTTTGTGCTGCTAATTTGGAGACTGTCTATCTCTTCTGGAAGGTACTTAGCCACTTTTTTTTCTGTCATTCTTCTTATCTAAAGACTTATGATAGTTTCATCAAAGAGAGGGTAAGACTGTTACAGTAAATATATTGCAGGAGCACTGACTTTACATTTTCCTTATGAAATCATATCATGATTTTAATTTGATAAGATTGTCAGTCATCCTCTTTGGGTTATATCTTTTCCGAGGTGCTCTCTCTCTCTCCCCCCTCCCATTAACCAGTAGGAAATCTCCAAGCGGCGGGCTTCTCTTTGCCAATGCCATTAACTAGTAGGAAATCTCCATTGGACTCATTCTTGGATTGTGAACCATCTCTTCTCTCTGCTTGTATCCAGAACGAATCTTTATTTAATGAAATTGCCTAAACAGGCTTCGGAAAAAAGTTACAGGGAAGGGGAGCTAAAGATACTTAACTCCCCAGAAAAGAAGTACAACTGATTTAAACACTCAGACCCTCACAATTGAGCCCAAAACCCAGAATTTCTAAAAACTCCTTGCCTAGCCAATCCATCAGCAAAGGAGTTAGCATTTCTTCTAACCCAAGTACATAGGACTTCCATATCCTTAATCGGCCACTTGAATTTTCTTTCCTCATTGCTGTAGCTCCACATCTTGGAAGTGTCTTCTTTCAACCAATCCACAACAATCGCAGAATCTCCTTCTATAAGCAGTTTCTTGACTTGAATTTCTTTGGCCCTTTGTACCCCTTCCAACACTGCTAACACCTCAGCCCTCAAGGAGTCTCCCGCTCCAATTGGACATGAGAACATAGCTATTACATTACCTCTCTCATCCCTTAGGACTCCCCAATACCCGAAGGCCCTGGATTCCCCATGCTAYTGCCATCAAAATTTAGTTTGAYAAAACCATGAGGTGGAGGGTTCCACATGAGATTCAAAGTCTTCTTCCTTGTAACTGAGCTAGCAACTTCTTTCCACTTTCTTAGCATATCATTTGTTGAAAAATCTGTAAACTCCTTCATTGTCTTCAGCCAGTGTATTACTCTTATATGAGTCAACTCTACCTAAGTTTCCAAGCCTCTCTCCTTTTCCAAGAAGATTCTTCCATTTCTTTCCTCCCATAGTGTCCAACAAACAGCAACTCTCACGCATCTCCACATAATTCTTGATATTTTCGTTGAACATTCAATAGGTGAAGAGGAAAACAAGTTTGGTGACTATTTGGAGTTGTCCACCTGTACCCAAATAAAGAAGCAAACCAATCCCAAATATTTTTTGCCAAAACACAAGATATTAAGTGGTACCCAGACTCACCAGCAGCCTTGCATAAAGCACACCAGTGTGGAGATAAACAACTATTGGGTCTTTTTCTTTGAAGTAGGTCACTTATATTGATTCTTTCAAGGAAAACTTCCCAATAAAAGCTCCCAACCCTTGGAGGTATAGGTTTACACCACACTTCCTTGACAATGAATGACAGACCAAAAGGAATTTCTGGTTGTATCAGGACTTTAGATAAATCCTGCCACCAACTCATTAAAGAATCTTGGAAAACCACCACTTTTGGTTATGCAACCTTTAAGCTTTCTAAAAAATTAGATGCCTTGAAGAAAGATTTAATTCATTGGAAGAAAAGCATTTTTATGGAGCCAAAAGAAAAATTACAAAATTTGGAGGATCAAATCTTAAATGCAGAACAAAAGAATTCCTACCAGAATCTGGATTAGCTTTATTTGGAGTATGAGGGAACAAATTGCCAATTGGATAGCTATTGGAGACAAAATTAATGACAGACTTGGTTGCAACCAGGGGACAAAAATACCAACTTCTTTCATAAAAGTACTCTTTCTAGAAAGAAGAGAAATTATATTGAGGGAATAAAAAATGATCAGAATATCTAGCAAAATTCTCATGCAGACATCACAAATACCTCCATAGATTACTTCAAATCCTTCTATACTTCTCAACATCTAAATGATTTGGAAGAGCTTTCCTAGGCTATTTCCCCTGTTCTTATTGATCAAGAAAATTTAATGCTCCTCCACCCTTCCACTCTTGAAGAAGTCAAATCAGCTTTTTTTTCAATAGGAAACCTCAAATCCCAAGGACCAGATGGGATGCCTGCCCTGGTTTTTAAACAATTATGGGAGCTAATGGGACTGAATATAATTTCAGTAGTTCAAGAATTCTTTCAAAATAAAAAACTTCTCAAGCGACTGAATCACACGTTCATTTGTCTCATCCCTAAAAAGGTCGATTGTGCAAAAGTACAAGACTACAGACCTATTAGTTTCTGTAACATAATTTATAAAATAATAGCTAAGCTAATAACTCATCGGCTTCGCTCCATCCTGGATAAGTGTATAGCTCCCAACCAAGTTGATTTTGTCCTAGGGCGTCAAATGTCAGATAACTCTATCTTAACTCTGGAAATGTTTCATTTTTTGAAAAAAAAAAAGGAACAAGTTATTTGGCTATCAAACTAGATATGTCTAAAGCCTATGATTGACTTCTCCTCAAAGTTGTCTCTCCTAGGCTTCTCTAACACTTTGTGTGATCTCATCAAATAATGTATTTCCAGTGTTTCCTATTCCATTCTTGTAAATGGTACTTCCGAGGGTCATTTTTATTCCTTCCTGGGGCCTTCATCAAGGAGATCCTCTCTCTCCTTACCTATTTATTATAGCCATGGAAGCTCTTTCAAGACTTCTGTATAAAGCTGAACAAGAAGGGAAAATCCAAGGAATCCTCATTTCTTCCTCTACACCCAAAATCTCTCATCTTTTTTTTTGCCGATGATGTAATGCTCTTTCTAAGTGCCCATAGGGATGAACTTGATAATCTTGGTCAACTTCTAAAAACATTTTAGAATGCCTCTGGTCAAGTCATCAATTTTCAAAAATCTGGAATATACTGTAGTAAAAATATTCATCCTAGACTTCAACGTATGATCAGTAGGAAAATAAAAATTAAGCCCTTGAATCGACACTCTAAATATCTAGGCCTCCCTCTTTTCGGGTCTAAAAATAAACATACCAACCTGAACTATATTTTGGAAAATCTTCAAGCAAAATTAAGAAGATGGAAAGCTTCTGCCATCAACCAAGCAAGGAAGGTTGTCCTTATTCATTCAGTCCTTTAGTCAGTCCCCCTACATGCAATGTCTTTAATTAAGTTTCCCCAGAAAACCATTGATAGCATTGAAAAAACCATATGAAGTTTTTGGTGGGGTGTCTCAAATAATAATAAACATCCTTATGGATGGTGTTCCTGGAACACCCCCTCTTTACCTAAATCTCACGGAAGACTTGGCTTTAAATGACTCAAAATAGTTAATCAAAGTTTACTGAAGAAAGTGGCTTGGAGATTACTTAATGAAAAAGATAAATTATGGTCACAAAGTTGGAAAGCAAAGTATCTCAAAAACACTATGTCATTCCCCTATTCCATCCTTTCTTTGGGTTCCATATTCTGGAAAGCTTTTGGTCCCCAGTTAATTGAGTTGGCCTCTAAATGTGGTCAATTGGTAAATGAAAACTCCTCTTTCCCTCTATCTCAGAGTCTTTGGATTCAATCTGAGGGTCAATTGTTTTGGATCTCTCAGCTTGTACCCCGCCAACTCAGCAATGCAAATATCACTAATCTTATGCAAGCAGGGAATTGGAACACTGAACTTATTCAGTCCTCTTTTTCTATAACTGAAGCCTCCAGAATCCTTGAAACCCCTATCTACCATTCCCTTAATACTATCTCTTGGATTTGGGTCCATCATAGTTTTGGAAAGTATTAAGTCAAACCAACTATAAAAAAGAATTGCAAGCTTCCTTGCCCAATGTCAATCCAGATCTGAAACTTTGCCTTGCAAATGTGTGGAAGTAATCTGTGCTTTGGTTTCAAATGTTTTTATGGCGTGTCTTAAATAATTTCATCCCAATAAAAGAATTGTTAAGACTTGATGATGCTTAGAAAAAGTGTGTATTTTGTAAATTGAGGAGGAATCTTTATCTCACTTATTTCTTCATTGCCAATTTTCCTAAGCAATTTTATTCACAAATCCAAGGAATCTCCATGTCCATAATATGCTCCAAAATTCTTGGGCATCAGGCATTAGAAGATTGCATAATCTAATCAACGACCATGTTCTTTTCTTGCAAATTCTCAGTTGGCTAACTATTTCTTGGTACTTTATTTGACATGCTAGAAATGAACAACTTTTTCAAAATAATTTCTATTGCTCCTTCCTCAGTTTCTAAAACTGTGAATCAACTGTTTCATCTTTCTATAAATTTGAATGATGAATCTCCACCTTCTTTAAATCCTCCTTTGAATAATCATTTAACTCTCTGTTTGTCTCAACAAACAGTTTATCTTATATTTACAGAAGCAGAAAGGATTTTGAGCTCCCTATATACATTTGGAATCATTATTGTCTCCAAAAATTTATCCTGTTTAAAAATCGTTGGAGGTCGCATTTCTTCAGTTAATTCAGTTCTTCAGGCTGAGCTATTTGGTGTTTTGCAGGCTTTAAAAGAACTTCAAAGCTGGAGATTTGAAGAAGTTTGTATATGTGTTGACTCGCAATCACTGATAAGCTCCTTGAAAGATCGGAAGGAATATCCATGGCGCCATTGGCTGTTTTTGAATTCAGAACTGTTATTAAGGAGCCTAAACTCTGTTATGTTTTTGTATATAAATAGGAAGTTTAACTTTGCAGCCCATGAGTATCCCAAATAGCCAAAACTTGTCTCCTTTTTTTTTTTTTGTTAGCTGTAAATATCTTCAAGGGATACTCAGGGTTGAAGACTGTATTTCTCTTTCCTTTTGCTAATATACCTTACACTTATCAAAAAAAAAAAAAAAGTACTACTCAATTATATGAAGTTACTCTTAACTACGTAGCTTCTCCATAACACTAATGATCAACCACTGCATCTCAATTAACACAATGCACCTAAATTGGTGGCTCCCATTTATACGTGTAATTATTTAATTGAATCGATTATTGAGTTGAGATGCAATTTACAACTGTTGTATACTCAGTAGCTATAAATAAGGCATTTGAATGCAATAATAGATGCTTTTTTTTTCTCTACTCCGATTTTATATGTTTCTTAAAGTTGATATTTAAAGTGTGAATTTCTCAAATCACTTATATAAGCCTAGAGATACCTCCGAGCGTTTCTTTAATGGCACAACTTAAATGTTGATGATGACTTTTGGAGTGATAAAAGCAGAGAAAGAGAGAGAAAGAGAGAGAGAGACTACACATACAATTATTGAGGTTCGATATCCTGCATACAAGGTTTAAAATTTCAATATGATACGCCCGATCGTATCTTTGAAAAACTGATATAGGATATGCTTGGAAATCGGACGTTTCATTTTTTTTTCATGCATATCGGACCGACATCAGGGGCGTATTGGGGCATATCGGGGCGTATCAGTAGCATATAGACGGAAAAGATATGACAAAAAACTAAAAAGAATTAAAGGGGAAAAGAAATATTTTTTTCCCTGAAATAAAACTTCTTTCACCCTAAATGACTCTAAAACTCCAAACTTCATTCCTAGAGTGCTAGATTTGCAAGAAACAAGTGTGAATTGTTAATTTTTTTAAAGATTTTTCAAATTTTGAAAAAAAATATGGCAAAATAGGTAATTTTTTTCAATCTTTTATAATATCTTGTGATTTCTTTCTTTTCTTGAATGTTTAAATTTATGTTGATCTAAATTTCTTATATTCAAAATCACAATTTTTTGTTGTGTTATCAGTAGATTTATGGAAATTTCATGAAGATATTTGGGGAAACTATAAATTAACAAAAAAAAATGTAATTTTTTCACTGCCTATAAAGACTAAATATGTTTTAGATCTATAGATTTATCTATCATATCCAAAGAGCAATTGAAATTTCTTCTTTAATATTTTTTTTTGTTATTAGAATTAAAAAAATAAATAATAATTAATTATATTTTATCGTTTGATCACAATAATTGAATATATTATATTTCTATGGATGATCTATCATATCCACAAAGCAATTGAAATTTCTTCTTTAATATCTATTTTTGAATATATTATATAATGTTTATTTATTTTTTATATTTTTTGGAAATAAATAATAAATAATTATTAATTATATTTTCACATAGAAGTTGTGCCAATGCATGTTTTATGATTGGATAGGAGAGTTGGGTTTTTCTCATCCCATAAATTATTAAAACTTAAAGAATTATAATTTATAATTTATAGTTAAGCATAGGATTTTTAATGAAATTAGAATTAGTTATAATATATTTATTTATAAAAATATTAAAATATATTAATTTAATATATATACACCTCATTAAAATCTTATATTTAATATTATTGATGTATTTTAATAATTTATTAAAATATTTATAATATTTTCAAGCGTATCTATGTATATCTTAATATATCCAAAGTATTCCCATACATCTCTATAGTCTATTCACGTCTGCCAAAAATAAAAACAGCATTGTTCAGGTTCCTAGCAGGTTTAGTTCAAAATTGAAGACTCACGACTAAAAACATTCAAAATCCTAAGAAGAAACCATATATTTTAGTTCCAGCGAAGGAAACAAAGAAAAAGAGGTGGAGTCCCTAAGCTAAGAAGAACAATACAACGCCATTGAAGAAAGAAATATAAGAGGGGAAGGAGGAGAGAGAGAGAGAGAGAGAGAGGAAAAATGCATACCTGCGTGACTGCGACGCTTGTTGCTCCCAAACTCAGTCATCCAAGCTCAAGCCTCAACAGAGGTTTCGTTCACCGGTCTTCTTCTCTCCTTTGTCGAAGAACAAACCCTGGTAAAGAAGAAGAAAATAATCGCGTTGAGAGTGAACCAACCGCTAGACCGTGAAAACCCAGTCTAATGCGAATCGACCCAACGGTGTAGGAGTGGCTCGCTTTATAGGGGTGGCCGGTGGCCAGGTGGCAAGACTTATCTGGTCGGACCAGGATGACTACTCTGGCCTGCAAATATTATGGTTCGGTCAGAACCTCATTGRCGCGAAAACTCAAGTGTTTTCCTGCCATCCGTAGCAGTGGTCGGCGTTTCTAAAAGGTGGGTATCAGATAAAGATGGAAGATCCAATCTACGATACCGTCGCCGAAGAGGGCTACTCCGCTCTCGTTGCCAGACAATGAGAAGAAGCTCGCGGATTCATCGTAGATGATGATGGTCTCGGATACGGCAACGAAGGGGAGGATGAGGGTTGGTCAAGCTTGCTTTCGTCCTTCGTCCGATGAATCAGAAGGAGAACTGTGAAAAATGCAAGAAGAAACCACCTACCAAAAAGCCTTCAGCAATCTCCGCAGCCGCGGGTCTTATGGGGAAGCACCGTATCTTTCTCAATGTTCATTGCGAGGAGTTTTGTGCCCATTCATCCAATTAAGAGCGAGAATCAACGCATTGTTGGTACTGATTTAGTTGTTAAATGTGAATTCACTACGGTTGCAAATGGTGATTCTGAAATGCGTTTCCAAGAAAATCAGAATCTAGTTCCGGGAAAGGTGGCACCCAGGGAATCGGATGGGGGAATTTTGAATTGTGAGATCGTGCGGATTCATTTCCACAGTCCATGATTCTTCAACTAGAGAAGACGTGGTTGCTTAGGGAGGATCACATATGAGCTAAGATTGAAGTAAATAAGATTCATCATTAAGCGCCACTACCAGATGGCGGGCTATATTGGAAAGGGGAAAATGGGAACACTGCCTGTGAAGTGTGAAGGACTGCCAAATTCTGTTCCTGCTTCCGAAGATAAGACAGATTTTATAGTAGATTCTGATGGTTCGCTGCTTTTCTACATAATTGATGCCTACGATGAGTTTGTGCTGCTAATCTGGAGACTGTCTATCTGTTCTGGAAGGTACTTAGCCACTTTTTTTCTGTCATTCTTCTTATCTAAAGACTTATGATAGTTCCATCAAAGAGAGGGTAGGACTGTTACAGTAAATATATTGCAGGAGCACTGACTTTAAATTTTCCTTATGAAATCATATCGTGATTTTAATTTGATAAGATTGTCGGTCATCCTCTTTGGGTTATATCTTTTCCGAGGTGCTCTCTCTCTCTCCCCCCCTCCCCATTAACCAGTAGGAGATCTCCATGAGGCGGGCTTATCTTTGCCAATGCCATTAACTAGTAATTAACTAGTAGGAAATCTCCATTGGACTCATACTTGGACTGTGATTCCATCTTTTCTGTCTGCTTGTATTCAGAACGAATCTTTATTTAATGAAATTGCCTAAACAGTTTTCAAAAAAAAAAAAAAAACAGAGTATAACTAGAATCAGTTTAGAGGTTGTTAAACGAATACACGAGAAGGTCCACTTGGTCAAGTTAGTTATGTCATGCTATGATGGGTCTTCCTCTCACATCGCCTGATGCGAGTTTTCCTCTAGCAAATGCTAGTCTTCCTCCCACTTCTGTGGGTTTCTTTCCTCTAGCAAATGTGTCAGGGTAGGTTTCCGATGGGGATTGTGGAGTCTTTTGTGAGTGTCTTTCCTTTCAGTCGGTGGATGTATTTTTCCATTGGGTTGTCATCAATGCACGGATTGGGTACAGCGGTTCGGTCTTTGTTCTGAGCAGTGGTTCTTCCTCTGAGGTGATTTCGTTCAAGTTATAGGCTAAAGGGCAAAGTAAAGGCCATGAACGTTGGTTCATGCCAGGAGATTAAAAAAAAACACTTTGCTGGAATAAACATCTAAGGATATAAAAAGTTATATATATATTATCAGATTGAATCATATTTTATCTGATTAAATAATTAGATAATATTTGAATTTGAATGGTTTATTTCAGAATGGATATCCGAAAGGACCAAAACCTTCTTAAATGGACCGGATTCAGATTTGAACTAGACAAGAATACGATTCATACTTGGCCAGAGTATGAATCACACTTGGTCTAGATTTCAAATGGGCGGAGGTGGAGCAAAGTTCCCCATGTATTGTAGCAAGAGAAGCAAATCTGTAACTTATCAAAAAACAAAAAGAGACCATGTCTTAGAATAGAGAGAGATGTTGGTCTTTGATGGTGCGCAATCCGACCGGTCCTATCTGTCAACGACCTTGCCTCTGAACAGAGCTACAGGGAACCTGAAACGGAGAAGATGAGGAAACTCCGGGGGGAACCCGGTGAGATTGCTCCGAAGCTCAAGTTAGTATTCTCCCAAAGGCAAGATAAAACCAGATAGCGCAAAGTTCACATACCTTGTTCTTGGGGGGTAAGGAGCCTTTTATAACCACTTCACGCACTCACTCCGAGGCTTCTGCCAGGTCGGGTATGATTACTTCTGTGCTTCTGCCAGTTCGGGTGTCATCCCCTTTGCTGGGACAGAACCGCCACTGCTCCTTGTCGAAGCCGTCTCTGTAACTGGAGATGGCGGGGGCAGGTGGCAGTGGCAGGTGGCCGTTGGCCGTTGGAATGCGGCTGTCAAGCGTCAAATCCCAAGTCA